CTAATAAATCTGTTCGGTTGGAGTCAGGGTTATTTTTGATTGACACTTGTTTGGGACATGTGTTAACTGGGAAGCATGAGTCATTTGGAGATAGCAATGATGATACTGTTTTGAATGCAATTTCGTTGTATGTTAGTAATTATTCGATAAAAGATTTGTGGTCTTTAGAATCCATAGGTATTTCAGATCCCATTGAAAATAATAGAAAGAATTTAGAACATTCTAGAGTTTTGGAAGAGTTTAAAAATAATGTGAAAATTCTTTCAGACGGTAGATATGAACTTTGTTTACCTTTTAAATCTGATGTGGCCGATTTGCCGACAAATAAAGATTTAACTTGGAAGCGGCATAAAAGGATGTGCCAGCGAGCACAAGATAAAGCATTTTTAGAAGAATATACTACGATTTTCCGGGAATGGGAAAAATTGAATATAATTGAAAAGGTAACTGATAATATTGAGACGGGACATTTTTTACCTCATCGGCCAGTAATTAAGGACAGTACCACTACAAAAATCAGACCTGTCTTTGACGCGTCAGCCCGAGAAAGTGGTAAATGCTCTTTGAATGACCTTTTGTATAAGGGTCCGAACTTACTAGAAATAATTCCAGAGATACTTGATAGGTTTCGAATTCATCCAATAGGATTATCTTCAGATATTGAGAAAGCATTTCTGATGCTAAGTATAGCCCCTCAACATAGAGATTTCTTGCGGTTTTTTTATCCGTCCGAGAGTGAACAGATTGTTTACCGACATCGCAGAGTAGTATTTGGGTTAAAGTCGAGTCCATTTTTATTAGCAGCCTCAATTACACATTTATTAGATAATGTACCATCTGAATTTGATGCTATAGCACAAAAACTGAAACATTCTTTTTACGTAGATAATTGTGTTTCTGGTGTTGCAAATATTGAGGAGCAGGAAGATTTTATTGTAAATGCAAAAGATATTTTGTCACGGGGTTGCTTTAATTTAAGAAACTGGGAGAGTAATGTAAAATGTAAGTATGTTTCTAATAGTACTGGTGTCACGAAAGTATTGGGAATTTTGTGGGATCTTGATAAGGACACTCTTAAGTGTAATTTAAACTTTAATCTTGTAAGTGAAGATCAGAATTTTACTAAGAGAATCATTTTAGCTACAGTTCACAAAATATTGATCCAATAGGTCTGTTGAGTCCTGCAATCTTACCACCTAAGCTTTTACTGCAGGAAACGTGGAATTTAAATCTAAAGTGGGATACTCCCTTACCAGATAGTATTCAAATGTCTTTTAAAAGATGGTTTAGAGAAATAGATGCATTAAGAGATATCGAAATCTCACGTTATGTTGAAATAAATGATTCCACTGAGATGCATGTTTTCGTAGATGCGTGCAAAGAGGCATATGCCACCTGTATTTTTTTTAGAACGAGAACCTCTCAAGGGGTAAAAATTTACTTTGTTAGAGCAAAAACCAGAGTTGCACCTTTGAAGAAAGTAACGATCCCTAGGTTAGAGTTAATGGCTTGCTGCATTGGTGCCAGGTTGGCATATTCAGTGAAGCAGGCTTTAAATGCCCATGAGATTAAAACAATATTTTGGAGCGACTCTAGGGTAGCTTTATACTGGTTAAAAGAACGTGGTGATTGGACAGTTTTTGTCTCGAACAGAGTAAAAGAAATAAATAATCTGTTTCCTAATAATGAATGGCGACATGTGCCAGGGAAAATGAATCCCGCTGATCTGATTTCGCGAGGGTGTTCCCCTAAGAAATTGTTAGAATCCTGCTGGTGGAAAGGCCCGGCATGGTTGTTGCAAGCAAGAGACAACTGGCCTGACACCGAAATATTGATAACGGAAACACCCGAAATAACACTTGAAAGGAGAAAGGTTAGGTTATGTAATATTAATTTGGAAGAGGAAAGATGGTTAAACATAAATAGAGTATTAATTTTTTAGAAATTGATTGGAGTAAAGTACTCGACAACAGAAATACAGAAGATCGAATGGAAATTCATTCCCCCACCGCTGCCTGATGGAAAGACTTGTTCGAGTAGTCAAAGAACTCCTTAGGAGAACATTGGGCAGAGCTGTTCTTACCTATGAAGAACTGGAAACATTTATGTGCGAATGTGAAAGGGTAGTAAATTCGCGACCTGACATATTTATCCGAAGATACAGAAGACTTATTTCACTTACACCTGCCATGTTTCTGACCGATAGATCCAATTTAGATGTAACTGATATAGACACAGTAGACACCAATCATCTCAGGAAAAGAATCAGATTTCGTGCAAAATTAATGGAAGATCTCCGAGTACGTTTTCGAAAGGAATATTTATTAGGACTACTTATTCAGCAACGACAGCAAAATTCACACTTTCCAAATATTCGAGTGAATGACGTTGTGTTGATAGGAGATGATATCAAAAGATTGAATTGGCCGTTGGCTAGGGTTACGGAACTGATTCCAGGAAAAGATGGTAAAGGGAGAACAGTTAGATTAAGAACGCAAATTAACAATTTGGTACGTCCGAAACAACGAGTGTTTCCTCTAGAAATCCAAGATGATGATTTGTCAGGTTCATGTCATCCAAGTGATCCTCAAAAAACATCAGTCTGGTGTAAAGTCTTCAGTTTCTCAGAGTGGAGATGACTTGCGTACCTCTCATCATTCAGAAAGTTCTGGGTCACTCCGATCTCCGGACCCCACTGATGTTTCTGATGTATGTGACAGTTTTAAGACTAGAAAGACACGATCTGTCAGAACTGTTAAGATGCCACTTAGACTGAACTTGATAGACTTGAATGTTTGAGTAGCTATCCAGCAACTCAAAGGGGGAGGATGTTGGGAATGGCATCACTAAGCCAGCAAATCAAAAGCCAGATAGAGACTGACGTCATGGGACGCCAGAGGAAAACGAACAGTTCCGGTTTAGTTAGCTAAGAACGATGTTTGCATGATGTGGCTAGATAGATATTGTAGCTAGATAAATATTTTATATTCTTTTAACTTGTCTTTATGTGTAAATAAAGCTTTTTGCTTAAGTTTAAATGAAGTACTCCATTTATGACAAGATAGCTGTTAATTCATCGGGTAGATGACTTACGAATCCCTTCTGAGCTAGCCATTGTTCGAACGTAACGCCTTACGTAATATAACAAAATACATTTCAAAATATTCTTGTATTAGAGCAATAAATGGAGTAATTCAGATTTAAGTACTCGTTTCACTTAATCTTATTTTCGCAGAATAGTGAGAATCTTGCTATCCAAAGGTGAGAATCGTTTAATTTCTCATGACAGATTTTTCTACATCGAATTCATATCACGGTATACTTTATATAACCTTAACATTATAGATGATAATAAATCAGCATAATGTTTTCGTATAAACTTCATTGTTAAAATATAAACGATAAGAGACGTTATAACGAAGAACTGTGTTTAAAAATGTAACGCAGTTAAAGTATTTTGTTATCAAGAAATCAGTGCAGTGAAATGAATGATTCAAATTGTCTTTGAAAATTACTTGGATTATATTTGCTATTTTAATTTCAGTCTCGTAGGTTTCTATAAACAGAGGTCAGAATCATTTGCTCTTTCATGAGGTATTTTCCAATGTCGAATTCATATCAGAGTATATTTTATAATAACCTGATCATTATAGATGATAAAAAATCAGCCTTATAGTTTCACATAAATTTTACTCTTAAATTATCAATTATAAGAAAAGTATCATTTATAATAAAAACTGGAATGAAGAGCAGTGGTTAATTAAAATGCAGCTGGTAATCAAGGAATGAATGCAGCCATGGCCGCACAATGTAATGAATAATCCACCGTTAAAAATTAGGCAAATGAGCAACCTATATAAAAACAGGTCTGCTGTTTTGCCCAATTTCAAATTTTACACTGGCGTGTTTCCCCATCCAGTTTTAATCAAAACTACCTCTTACATAGCCCGGGTTATTTTCATTACATAGTGCTGCCATCTAGTGTTTGATATTTAAAATATATAAATACTGAATGAAATACGCATATTACTGTTTCTATATAAATAACAGTTTTGAGTACTTTCCAAAATAAATAAATGCATACGAGTAAAAATAATAGGTAAATTAAGTTTGGATTTTTGATAATTATTTAAGCATTTTTAATCGTATCATTGCGTTGACTTTGAATTCGATGTAGACATACAGACCTTCTAAGCAGATTAAGCTCCCCCAGTGATTGAGCGATTAGGAAAGTTGAACCCAACCGACCTCGATGCGATCTCTGACCCAGGCCAACGGGCTGGCTTCATGTTTGTTTTCTGTGATTCTTCTCATGTGTAACGTCAATATGAAGCAGCTTCTTTTAGGGTGTAATCCACGAAAGCATCTCAGATAGATGGCTCTCATGCACTTTGGCATAATCAAATAACCTTCCAAATTGATTATTCTAAGTATACCTTAAGTTTTCCATCGGGCTCAGTTCTGAATCTCGTGAATGCCACTGACTTCGAATCCCATTTAAATAGGTCTAGAAATATCAGCTTTCGAATTATGCTGTTAAAGAGACCACTTTCTTCGTCTCACACCAGGCAAAAAATATACTCCGGATAATGTCTTGAGATTTTATTTCGTTTATTTTGACTTTAACTGCTATCTCTACATATAATAAAAGAGTCTGTCTGAGTGTGTGTCTTTCGTTCGTGCTTGCGCGTAAGCTAACAGACCCAAGGCTACGAAATTTGGTACATAGGTGCATCTAGACAAGATTCAGTGCACATCGAAGCGATTTTTTCAAAATTAGAATCAGATTTTTTTTTATGAAGTTGCATCATTTTGAATAGTTTCATTCTTTTAGAAATTCGGTTTTGGCAATAGTTTTTCATTCAATGCTTTGTATATTGGACTGCTGATTGTTGGAAATATAAGATAAAATGCTGCTTATTTATTTATTTATTTATTTATTGGACACGCAACACGCACATCGCAATCTTCTTATTCTGACGCGCATGTGTCTCGCGAGGTACAACAGAAAGAAAACTGTTTCCCCTCCCCTCCTCTCTTATATGGATATGGAAAGATGTTTGTATATTTTGAATTAGTTATCCAAAGACAATTTGATTGGTTATGCGTTTTGATGATAGTTTCAAAATCTTTTAGAAAGGTGGGTTTTGGCACATTTTTCATTGCTTTGATCTGGGACTGCTGACGTTTTCTCTTGAAATATGAGATTATTGCTTATTTCATTGTAATCTTTTCACATTATGCTTTAATTATATATAATTTTATTATATAAAATTTTGGCGGGATTTTTTTAGGGAAATAAAGTTTTAACTTCCTTTATTACCATTTGAATTCTTCAGATTTTGCCACGGGAAGGTGGTTAATTTATTTATTAAGATAATTAATATTTGTATTAAGGAATATTGCTTATTTCATTGTAATTGTTTTAATATCTGATACATTTTTAGTGAATTTTTTTGATAAAGTTGTTCGGCAGAGTAAAATTCTGTGCAGGTTTTTAAATTTAATGTTTAGCATTTTAACTTTTATAGTTTACATTTAATGTATAGCATTAGCACTTTAGCATTTTTACAGTACATTTAAAAGCTAGATAAAAGCTGGACGCCTAGTGGCTAGTAATACATAAAATGAGCACCGTTTGCTGGGAATACTCTGCCTACCGCCATCTGACGAAGTTATTTTTTCAGTATAATACCACTACCTTAACCATCTCTCACATCCAGATATAGTTAGCATTCTAAATAAATAAAAGAATAAATCAATGTGGAATCTTCGTTATTTACCTCTGTAACATACATTTTTCTAACAAAAATTTATAAGAGAAAACTTACACCAATTCTTCAGAGCACCACGAGATTAGATTTTTTAAAGCGATTGCAAGTTTAGTACTTTGATTTGAGTTAAGATACTGTGCATATTTTAGCTGGCACATAATGTATTTAAATTTGTTAAATATTTAGATCATCATCACTATGACATGCCACTCAAACCGGTCGACCTTTGCTGTCCTGAAAGTAAACTAGCTCTAGCTTCGAGCACCGATTTTCTCAGACCACAGGATTTAGCTGAAAGTGTTATTGGCTACTGTTTTTGATTTACTTATACATATTTCTGTACGTGCACGACTCATTATACTAGTATTTATTTCAGTAAATTTGATAAAACAAAAGGCACAGACAAAGGCGTTTAATCTGTAGCATAATTATAAATAGCAAGAACCAGAACTTCTCAACGGTGTCAGTATTAACACCCTGGGGTTGATGAAATTGCAAAGAGGCTTAGTGATGATCAAGGGGTCGACTGAGGAAGGACAGCAGAATGAAGATAACATTGATTACAAAAAATAATAATTAGTAAAATTTATGATTAATTTTTTACTATTTTAACTTATATACTGTAGTAATCATAAATTTAATATAAGGAAAATACACTAAAATTATTGAACATGTCTTACAAATCATTGCTACATATTTTAATGCCTGAATTTTTTATGCAATAAGCGAAATATAAAAAAATTAAACGCAGGAACACTAGAAAATACGAAGAAATCATAACTAATGTACTACAACAAAATTTAGAACCACTGAATTGCGATTATCTGATCTTGATATTATAATGCAAGAGGAGTTGATGGTATCGAGGGAGAATGTTCAAGAAAAAGTATTATTCAAAATGCACCGTTATGCACCGTTCGAATATACTGCACACATGCGTTATGTTCAAAATACGCGTGGAATTTAAAAGTTACCTCAGAGAAATATCTCAAAATAAATAGTGGTTGTTGCCGAACGGAAACTATTGATTCCACCTTTTCTGACCTAACGTGTTCAGGCTTTAGTCATGTTAATAATTTACTACGGAAAACAAGGAACAGTTTAAATATTTTTGAAGGAAATAATTTGAGAATTAAGTTAAGCAGTTTTATACCAAATACTAAACAATTTTCAATAATATAATAAGTGCAACCATCGCATTAATTAAATCAAACATTTGTGCAGTTAGAATCTGGGATTTTGTTTCTGAAAACTTGTTTGCGTTTGTAAAAAACAATATAATAAAACAATATAGTAAACCAATTTTTTTTTCAAATTTTCTGTTCCTATATATAGTATAAATTGTTTATGTGCAATTATAAATATTATGGTCATGTGTGTTATACAGAAAAATGCACACAGGTCGGTCGATGAAGAAAACCATATTGTTGGATGCAGTCGATGCACAAAAGGACTCACCATTATACCAGAAAAGAGACTTAAGCTATTTTTAGATTTATATTTTCTTATATGCCAAAATCAGTACAATTTTGACTGCTTTTGAGAATCATTGGCGACTTCTTTCCTCATCACAAAGCTTAATAAAATAAAATAATTTTCTTCCATTTTTTTACAGTACATTAAGAATTAATAATCGAGTTTTATAATTGTCATTCCCAATATCTGTGAATTCGCTAAAGTTACTCGCGTTAAATAATAAATCACGTTATTTAATACGTTAAATTTTTGTATTTGGGACATTAAATCCTAATTTGATACATTAAATCAGTAATCCGCATTTATGTTTTCTTCTGAAGCGTTGACTGATGATGTAATTGCAAGAAAAATATCTTTCATTATTGGAATACTTCCCAGGAACATAATAGAGATTTGAAAAAACGATGTTCCATACAAATGCGATGAATACGGAAACGAATTATTAATCATATTTTGTGAAAATAAAACAAGAATTTATTTTCTGTGATATACTGTGTGCAGATAAATTACAAAATACATTTCTGCTTATCTGTATCACTAAAACACCTGCTGCAAAAAAATAATCACACACAAAATATCAAAATTATCTTTTTTTTCCTTCTAATTCTTCGGCAACAATGAGGGCCCAGGGTTACACGACTTTGATTCTGCTGTTTTTGTGTACAATTTTAAAGCTACGTATTGTTCAGTCAGGTTGTCCTAAGCCTCATAAAATACATCCCTGTAGTTGTCTCAAAAGCAAGTCCATACTCGAATGTGAAGATATCACCCATGAAGATACTTTATCGACTGTCATGCAAGTGTCCAAAAAGCATAAAGTTGTTGGCGTGGAGCTGAATGCTGTGGTATTCCGGTACATACATCATGATGCATTTGATGGAACTAATATACAGGTAAACAAAGTTAAAAAAAGTAATTTATTGATTTTTAGTGGATTCAGACTTCAGATGAGAGCCAAATTAGACAGCCTTCAACGATAGCATGCCTAGATTTACTTGGATGCTTTATCATTAATTATGATGTCTTAAGCCCCTATAAATTTTAATTAGTTAATATGTTGTTAGTTGAATATATGTTATTATGCACTGATAATGCACAGAAAACATACACTAAAATTCTGATTTGCAGGTACCGTCTTGACTTTGAATACTGTAGTTTATCAGTTGAATTAATTATTTATTTTATCGCAAATGTCAAAATCGAAAGATGATTTTTTTCTTATCCCTTAAGTATAAGACCTTCGAGGGTAATTTTTCGAAATGCGTTTTTCTTACGATTATCGGTACAATTATTTACATCAATATCTGGGCGTTTTTATAAAGACACAGCTATCAATTGAGTTGATTAAAGAAAAGATCAATAAAATTGGATCTGTATTAATGTAGATAATTAAAACATGCAGTCATTATTGAGAATAATAGGTTGCTTATGAGTAATTACACTAAAACAATGGGAATTTACTAAGAAAACTTTCAAGATCGTGCTTAGATTGTAAAGGAATTTGGGAGTGTAAAAATCATTAGAATTAAGTGTTTTAATTCCAGAGAAGGAGATAGAAAGTTTTTCTTTAAGTATAGATATCTACAAAATTTCGTTCTTTCCGAAAGGACAAAATAAAAGAATGCAGTGAGTAAATGACAGTTTCCATGTAGAAACTGCAGATTTTTCTATCACTTTCCAGAGTAGTTGAAATTTGTGTTTAGTTTTAATTTGTACCGCTTTTCTTTCAGATGACATACTTACATTTTAATTAACTTCGCGATACTAAAATCTGTTCTTTTATGCTTTATGCTGTCAGAAACTACTATATATTGGGATTTTATGCAAACAGCCAATAATCTGTAGAGCAAAATCCTAATTTGAATATTCTGGTGACATCTTTTTAACCACAGCTATTATTTTCCTACTTCATTAGCTGTAAACACTATTAATAAATCCTCAATAATTTTTTATTTTCCACTTTACTCGAATTTACATGATACACAGAATCAAAAGAAAGAAAAACGTTGTTGCAAGTTTTACAGAGTTTGGTAAAATATCTTTAAACAAATCACTAATCAATCAATGGAAAACATGAATTAACTTCGCGATGCTGCATAACTGTATTTAAAATATCGAATGATGGCACAATCTAGCGTTCGAAAAAGAGAAAGCTTTGTTATGGTCCAAGACTAAGCATAAATAATCATTCTTCCTCGAGATAAACTTACAGTAGTTGGCCAATATTTCACTGCTAAGCAATATTTATATTTTGAGAGATCTCAGTACCAGTTTCTCTTATTTTTTATTATATTCTTCCGAGAAACGCGAAAGTTAAGCACACCACTATGGAAGAAGTTATTTTGTTTTTCGAATACTTTTTTTGCAGCGGAAACTGTAGCCATATTGTCATTTATTTTAGGTACTTTCAATATACTTTATCGTTATTCAAAAACATTTAATTCTTCTTTAAAAATATAAAAGACAGTTTTATTAGTTGAGGATTCTAGATAAACATTTCTCTTAAGGTTATAAGGTATTTCTTCCTTCTTTTAGCATTCCTTCGTGGTGTAACGTTTAACGCACTCGGTACATATTTTAAAGATCCAGGTTCGCGTCCCAGCGAGAACATTACTCATTTTTCACATATCCGGCATCAAAGTAACCTAATATCCCCACAGTGGCTCCCAAGCTAAAAAAAAGGTGGTGGTTGATAATTCTTCACCACCAGGATTTAGCAATTGGGTCCCCCAATCCCCAATCGCTCTTTAAAAGGAGGAGTATATAAGATTTTGGGTTCTCCTTCTAGCATGCTTTCGTGACGTAATGGGTAGCACACTCGAAGCGTATTCGAGAGGTCCAAGTTCGAGTCTTGGCGAGGGCATTGCTCATTTTTCACATCTCCAGCATCAAAATAACCTGATGTATCTACAAGGTAACCAGAGTGTATATGCACATTTCAATTTTTATTTAATGACGTGTTATACAGCTATTGGAAATGTTACGATTTTTGTTTGCTTTCGGAACTCTTTCACGAAAGTAATAAATAACAACGAATATATTTATATTGATTACTAAAGAAGCTACACATTTTCAACCGCTAAATTTGAAAACTGACGAACCTCATAACATGCAAGATAATTTTTTTTCGCTATTAAATTAAAAGCACGGCACATCCCATGACCTTCAAATGTACATTTTCTATTTTTTATAAGATGTTATACTACCAAACTAAATCTACAATTACTGCTGAATTATCTGCATCAAAAGCTAAAATATTCAGATGAACTCCATTTTATTTTAAAGATTTAATAATGAGCTATGCTATATTAAAGCCTGAAGAATCTACTTCCAGAAGAGGGACATAAGCAGATTAATTTTAAATTTTAAAGCCATGAGATGAAAGAAAAATAACAACTGGAAACAATTTTGCATCATTGTGTAATTGATTCCATTTGTAGAAAGGCAGCTGCTTTAATGAAATCAATAACATAATTTTTTTACAGTCATTTCTTTAACAGCTGCATCCATTTTTGTTCTTGCATGCCAGTATAACCTCAGACATTTTTTATCGGTATATAAAAGTAGAGCTTTTTCTAAATAAAACAGCGGCGTGATCACTGGCATTCTGTGGCAGATTGTACTCAAGTAAAAAGCAAAACACAGGCACTCTGCATTAATAATGTTTGGTCGTATGCTTGCTATGTGTTAAATATCTTTAAAGTTTGTCCTTGGAGTTGTCGGCTCACATCCAGTGTGAGAGACCATAAAAACTATACAGGGTAGTTCTATGATAATGGGACAAACTTGGAAGCGTGGTGTAGCGTACTAAAATATGCATTTTGTGTACATGAATGTAGGGTCTAAAGAAACGCAAAAAAATGACACAGGAGGAAAAATGAATTTATTTACAAAATCAACGCAAAGCGCTTCAATGCAGCACTACAGTATTCACAAGAAATGTTCAAAAGTACGACCACCAACAGTAATACGAACTACAGCTGTGACTGGCTGACAATGCGGTAGTGAGCGGGGAGGAATGAGGAAGGTAGAGGGCGGTAGTGAGCCGGGCAAACTGCGATCCGATTGCATCGGCGGAAGAATAACTTGGTTTAGAATTACTTGGACGCAAATTTTGCGTGCGATGGATCAGGCGTGGTGGACCAGTCCGATGGCCACCCCTTTCGCCAAATTTATCTGTCGTAGATTTCTTTTAATGGGGGCATATGAAGCGCATCATTTAAGAGACTCCCATTGATTCGCTGGAGAAAATCGTTGCACGAATATCTATTGTGGCTGCAAGCGTACGCGTAATGCCTATCATTTTTCAAAGTGTTTGATGAACTCTCCTACGACGCTATCATGCATGTATTACTGTTGGTGGTCATATTTTTGAACATTTCTTCTGAATCCTGTATTGCTGCAAAGAAGCGCTTTGCGTTGATTTTGTAAATAAATTCATTTTTCCTCCCGTGTCATTTTTTGAGTTCGTGTCTTAGCATGTAACTTTAGACCCTGCATTCCTATACAAAAAATACATGTTTTAGTTTGCTCAACCACCCTCCAAGTTTGTCCCAAGATCATAGAATCACCCTGTATATGTACTTCACAGCTTGGGTCTAAGTAGATCTCGTACTAGTTCTATGTGTACACAGGAAAATTTAATTTTTCTCCAAAAGAATTAACGTTGTTTTTGTGTACACATGTATTTTAGTAGATTGACTCTTTCACCATGCAAAATAAAGAAAAAGTACCAATAATAAATGGAACTAATCGCAGACGTAATATATTTTCTTGACGAAATTATTCAGACGAAGTTCTCTGCAGGCATTTCTTGACAAGTGCACGAGTATTTTACTTTTTTCGTAGTCCCAACTAAAAAACCTTTTAAACAAGCATATGAAACTCACACGGTTTAGAGAACTCCAGGATGCAAAGGATTGTTTCCATCTTGTTTTGTGCGCATAGGCTGATGGGCGTCAGATGGCTGGTTGCTACCCTTGATGCCCAGGCGGAGAACTGGATTATGATGCTTTCAGTTGTATCTATGCAGTACGCTAACAAAATTGTTTCGTTAAAAAAGAAAGCAGTCAAAATAAAAAAAAAAGCGAACGTTTTCAGATGCCTGAACTTCCGTTTAAAAAAATAACGAATAAATGATAACTAATGATAATCGTGAGAAATTTATAAGAAAGAAAATTACTAGAAATAGAAATTCGAGCGCAAATCGGGAGCTTCCCGTCTAAACCGGGACAGTTAGCAAGTCTGTGAATGTAATCAGGCGACAGCAAAAATAGCATTTTTTTCGAAGATTGTAGTTTCTCTTGGCTTGCAGAAAAGACAGTGCATGTTTAGTTCCTGTATTCGGTCTTCACTTTATAACCAGTTACTAAAGATCTCGTCTATGAAGCAAAAGGCACATCATTTCGGAAAAAAAAGGGGGCGTCAATTCTGTAACTCCCGTTCTACTGGACCGATCGACGAAATTCAACTTACATTTTCGATGTCTCGAAAGCGCTACTTAGGATATGTATTATACACTCATGTCCATAAATTAAGGATAATTTCGGAGTCACGCGGAAATCGAACTCTAAAATAAATATATCACCTAAAAAATCACTACATACATCTTCAAGAATCATATGCAATTTCAGGAAGTAACCAGATGACACCGATGGTGCGTCACAATGACGAGAGTGTAAGAGAGTGGTATATAAGGAATACAGGCAAAGTAGTAAAATTGTTCGCAGGCGCTTTATAAGCATTTCAGTGCAATAACCGAATAGTTATGACACAAAGGACGCATTTGGATGATTTTTTAAGTGGTAGAATTATCGGCCGTCTGGAATGTGGGCGTACCCAACTGGAAGTATCAGACGAACTTGGAATCGCCCAGAGTGTCATCTCCAAGCTT